GGAGTCTCACTCTATCGCCCAGGCTGGAGTGCAGTGGCGTGATCTCAGGTCACTGCTCCCTCTGCCTCCCAGGTTCAAGTGATTCTCCTGCCTCAGTCTCCCAAGTAGCTGAGATTACAGGCACGTGCCATGATGCCCAGCTAATTTTTGTGTTTTTAGTGGAGACAGGGTTTCACCATGTTGTCCAGTCTGGTCTCAAACTCCTGATCTCATGAGATCCGCCTGCCTCAGCCTCCCAAAGTGTTCGGATTACAGGCGTGAGCCACCACGCCTGGCCAAAATGTAGGCACAGGTTTAACTAGTTTTCTGTTTGTTTCCAACCTCGATTAAACTCACTAAATTTAGGGGGAAAATCTTGTGTTTTGGCCCAGTCTCAAACCGGCGACCTTTCGCGTGTGAGGCAAATGTGATAACCACTAAATTACAGAAACCAGGCATGGGCCCACTTTTTATTCATGAGCTTGCCAGTCTTTGGAGGCAGTAAAACCATGGGACAATGCCTGCATGGGGTGTGGGAAGGCCTACAAGCGAAACACATCTCCCCTACGTATGATTTGCTACGTTGTTTGGGGAGTAGACAGAATTCTAAGATGGCCTGCAAGATTTCTGCCCTGTGATATATACAACCTGTATAATTCTCTCTCCTTGAGGACCTGTAAATATGATGGGATACCACAAGGTTTGTGATTAGGTTACATTAGATAGCAAAGGTGAAAGTGCCTATCTGGTGGCAAGCAGCCAGCTGTAGTGGGGGTTTATCACTTTGCCCTCTAAATGCATTATTGTGCCACTGCTACCCTGCCTGCCTTTGTCCCTTAGGGTCTGGAACAGAGCCAAGCCTGTCTAGGGGGCCGTTTTGAGCTGGTCTGTGGAAGACCTTAGAGATGGTTTTGTTTGTTTGTTTTTCTTTAGACAGTCTTGCTGTGTTTGCCCAGACTGGAGTGCAGTGGCACAATCTCGCTGCAACCTGTGCCTCCCAGGTGCAAGCGATACTTGTGCCTCAGCCACCCAAGTAGCTGAGACTACAGGTGCACGCCACCATATCTGGCTAATTTTTGTATTTTTATTTTTTGAGACAGAGTCTTGTTGTCACCTAAGCTGGAAGGCAGTGGTGTGATCTCAGCTTACCGCAACCTTCACCTCCTGGGTTCAAGCGGTTCTTCTGTCCCAGTCTCCTGAGTAGCTGGGATTACACGTGTGAGCCACCGTGCCCAGCTTATTTTTGTATTTTTAGTAGAGACGGGGTTTCACCATGTTGGCCAGGCTGGTCTGGAACTCCTGACCTCAAGTGATCTGAAGTGATCTGCCCCACTCAGCCTCCCAAAGTGCTAGGATTACAAGCGTGAGCCAACATGCCTGGCCACAACCTTATATATGTGTTATGGGTTTCACGTCCCTTAAAACCACTTCCTCTTTCCCTTGCCATCTTCACAGGTCTCTGCCCTACCCAGGGGGAAGCTATCAGATAATTTTACCTGTGTTGTGGTTATAACTTAATAGAAGTTAAAAAAAAAAAAAGAAAGAAAGAAAGAAAGAGAGAAACTCCAAGGTCAGTACTTAAACTGGGGAACTAACTTGTTAATAATGGTGGAACACCAAGCAGCATGAGAGCTGGTAAATTGGGAGATTTGGGCCTTATCCTCACTACATGCCCCATCCTCACCCTCTGCAACACACATGTCACCTACACACAGCAGCATGGTAGAATGAGAATTAAGAGAAACTCAGAGCCCCAGATTTAGCGGTAGGAGTGCAGGATTCGAATCAATTGTAGGCTTTGCCATCTGCTGTGACCTTCGCCTCCTCTCTTGGAGCCTGTTACCCCATCTGAAAAATGAGGAAATACTGACTAGGGCCATGATTCTTAACCCTGGTTGCTCACTAGATTCACATGAGAGGGTTTCAAACAATACAGATGCCTGAGCTCCACACTCAGAGATGTTAATAGAATTGTTCCATGGCATGGCCGGTATATTAATTTTTTTTTTTGAGACGGAGTTTCACTCTGCTGCCTAGGCTGGAGTGCAGTGGCATGATCTCGGCTCACTGCAGCCTCCTCCTCCTGGATTCAAGCAATTCTCCTGCCTCAGCCTCCCGAGTAGCTGGGACTACAGGCGCCCGCCACCACGCATGGCTACTTTTTTGTATTTTTTGGTAGAGACGGGGTTTCACCGTGTTAGCCAGGTTGGTCTCTATCTCCTGACCTCGTGATCTGCCAGCTTCGGCCTCCCAAAGTGCTGGGATTACAAGTGTGAGCCGCTGAGCCCGGCCCAATTTTAAAATTTTTTGTAGAGATGGGGGTCTTGTTATGTTGCCCAAGGTGGTCTCGAACTCCTGGGCTTAAGTGATTCTTGCGCCTCGGCCTACCAAAGGGCTGGAATTAAGGCCCAGTTTTGAAATATAAATAAAACGAGAACTTAATGCTAGGGTGGAGAACAGTGCCACCTGCTGGTTTCACTTTGCATTAGCAATATCTAAATATCTGCCAATGCCATGTAATGCAACTCGCTGTTTATTGAGCACCAACGCAACATGCAAGGCATTGTGATGCACCCTATAGGTCATGCAGAGATAAAAGCTCCTTTCCCCATGAAGCTGACAACCTAGAGGGGACAATCGGCATGTACATAAAACCTTTGATCCAAAGTAGGCAGCCAACATGGTCCCACTGTGGTTCTGTGGTAATACAAGAAACAAACCTGGGGCCAGGGCTGGCTTCATGGGTGTGCTGCCTGTGCTTGAAAGGGCTGTGCACTTGGTTTCATCATTTCCTGTGGCAGTCTTGAAATTCTTTTCTTTTTTTTTGATCCTGTGTTCGGTCGAATTGAAATTCTTTAATACTTTTTGAACAAGGGGCCATTTTGCACTGGGGCCCACAAATGATATAGCTGGTTCTACCTAGTGTAGTTTGGGAAATTTTGGAAGAGGCGACATATGACCTGGCAGGGCAGTAGTGGAGGGAGAGGAAAACAGGAGGCACATTGTAGTGTGGAAGGGGAGGTGGGATCCTTAGGCCTGGGTGACTGGGTGGTGTGGGGGAAGGAGTTAGAGCTGGTGCTCCAAGGCAGGTGGAGAGGGAAAGGCGTTCAATATAAGATGGCTTCAGACTCAGTGCAAGGAAGACCTCCAAGGACAGTTTCAGCAGCTGGAACTCAGAAGGTAGGCCAGGGCTGCAACTTTGGTCACAGACTTCCAGATGGATACCTTGGTGACACCAAAGGTTATAGGATCCCCTGAGATGGGTGAGGACTAAGACAGAGCTGTTTAGCTGGGCCTCGGCTTTTGGCCCAAACTAGATTGTTGGCTTCTAGGACTCCTGCCTTGCGCAGTGGTGGAGGAAGACTTTGGGGCAGGGCTGCACAATGAGCGCTTGAGCCCCAATTCCCCATGTGATGTGCTATGACACTCTTCTCAGCCTCTTTCCTCCTGGCTGCCTGCTTCAACACCACCATGGATGGTGAGTCAAGCACTCATTTCAGGGATATTTCCCATTCAACTCATTCGCTGCATTCCTCCGCCAAGATTCACCTTCAGGGGCCACAGACTTCTTCCTCACCTCTCACAGTGGGCTGCAGCCTGCTGACCGCAGATGACAGAATTTAGTCAAGACTTTGGGAAGGCTAAAGAACACACTTTGTTTCTTCTCCTCTGGGTATTGTTAGTTTCTTTTTTCTCATGGGACTTTCCATACCCTGGGGGAGGAGGAGCTTTACAAGAAATTAGCTCTTCCTTAGGAGGTCAAGTTCTTCCCCAGCGGGTTAGAACCTGGAACCCACATTTCAGACCAGTTTTCCCATCAGGCACCACCAGAGGCTAGTACAGGTAGCTGGCACCCATGATACTTATCTGTATCCTTGATTCCAACAGTCCAAGCCAGTGTTCTGCCTGTTTGTTTGTTTGTTTGTTTTTCTTCCCTACCTAGCACAGACTAGGTAGAGGGTGGGTAGGGTGGTCACGAATAGATTGTGATTCTGTCCATCAGCCCCATGTAGAGAGGCCCCTCTCTCAACTACATTATTGCCCAGTCAATCCCAGGAGTTCTGCCCAGGGCTATCCTGGGAAAGCTTTGTTTCGAAAGGGTCCTGTGGTCACCTCTGGGCCTGGGGTGCACCCTTGCTTGGGATGGAGAGATAGCTGGTAGGGTAACATCCCCAGGGCAGGGACGAGGACTCAGGATGCCAGCTGCCTCTGCACCCTGTTCCTCCTCTAGAAAATGTCAAAAAGGTAGGTGCTCTGCTCCATCAGACTTGTGGTTATTTTCTTTCTGTGCAGGTCCCCTTTTTGTGTGTGTGGGTGCGAGGGTTGGGGGAGGCACACTTGGGGAGGAGGCTCATACAGATCAAACTCTGCCTTGGATAGGGTTAATTTTAATGCAGCCATGGAAACCCTGATCCTCAGGACTGCATCCTGCTGGGCCTGTGGGAGAAGTGACTTGGGGGACAGTTAAGGCGGCAAGACCTCATCACTGTTCAGGCACCTGCCCAGCCACCAAAGCTGTAGGCCAGGGAGCAAACACAGGCAAGGGTACTATGCTTGGCTGCAGTCAGAGGGATTCTCAGGAGGAGCAGGTCTTTGTGCTCCAGGGAAGGACACAGTGCTCTAGGTGGGAACTGGTGTCCCAGGTGGGACCAAATGCCCCAGGTGAGACTCAGAGAGACCCCGTGGATCTAATATTCCAGGCAGGACCTGGTGCTCCAGGGTCCTGGTGCCCCAAGAGCTTGCCCCCCATGCCTGGGTGTGTGAAGCTGTGTGTTTTCTCTTCAAGAGAGGACACAGATGCCTGGAGGGTAAATGTCTCGGACTTGGCTCCTCTGGGCATGTGAAATTGTGTGTGAGAGGCAGGGAGAGCTGAAGAGAGAAAAGGACAGAGGGATAGGGCCACACAAATAGATCCATAGACTAAGTACTGAGGGGGAGGGGAGAGAGAGAGGTTTAGAGACAGAGTGAGAAGAGATGAAGACAGGGAGAGCCACACACGATGGACACAAAGACAACACCACTCAGGTCGTGTCTTCCTGTATGTGTAAGGACGAGGGAGGGAGTAAGCCGGGTAAGAGCCACCAGGCCCGCTTTCTAGGGTGAGCCTTCAGCTGCCCTTCTACAGCAAAGGGGCAAGGAAGCAGGGCCTAGATCCCAGAAACAAGTCCTCGCGCCTGGCTCGGGCACAGCCCTCCGCGGTGGGCAGCCGGGATTCCCGGGCGCGCCTAAGTCTGGATGAAGAGGTGGAAGTTGGTGCGCGTGAACTCCTGATGGATGCTCTCCAGAAGCGCGTCGGCGTCGGTGGCGGGCTCGGGGACGCCGGTGTGACCCGGCCGCGCGCTGTATTCCGGGGTATAGGTGAAGGAGAAGGCACTAGGGTAGAAGAGCCCATCGGAGCGCACCAGGCTCACAGGGATTGTGATGGGAGCGCGCAGCCAGCGCCAGTCGCTGCAGAAGGCCGCCACGTCCGGCACCACGCACACCAGGGAGCGCGGGCTCCTGGGGGTGGAGCACCAGGGTGAGAACTGCGGCGACTCTGACGACTCGTGCGCCCCCTTCCCCAGCTCCCCGGGGCCCAAGGGAGGCTGCCTCCCCACCCCGTACCTGTACATGGTTTCCGCCTCCACGTCCCCAAACCACACCTTGAGCCCCGCATGGAAGTTCTCTCCGTGGAGCTCCAGCGTGGCCACGTCGCCCCCGCCACTCAGCTGGGGGAGGGTGGGACCAGGTGAGGTGAGAGAACCGAGCAGGGCGGGAACCTGATGCCCCCCACTCACTAGCACTCCCACTCTCCACTGCAGGCAAGGTCCCCCTGCCCAACGCCCCTAGCGGCCGGCTTCACCTCTAGGGTGCTGATGAGAGGCACTGGAGTGACCGGTTCCAGGGTACACGCCAGACTGGTGCTGAAGGAAAATTCCACCGACTCGGTGCCGATGATGGTCCAGCAAGAGCTGTCATTAAGCAGAGCCCTGTTCGCCTCCTTGGGGCAGGGAGAAGCCTGGGAGGAGACCCGAGGGGACGAGGCCGAAGCTTCTCATGGTGGCCACCAGCCTAGGGAGCCAGCATGGCACGTGGGCTTCTGCATTAGACTGAACTGGATACTAATCCTAGGCTCTGGGGTTCACTTGTCCCCTCAGCTTGGACAGTGCCCTTAAGTTCTCTCACTTAGAGTTAAATAAGCTTGTTGGGCTAGCTGATTTTTCCTTCCTTCCTTTCCTTTCCTTCCTGCCTGCCTGCCTGCCTGCCTTCCTTCCTTCCTTCCTTCCTTCCTTCCTTCCTTCCTTCCTTCCTTCCTTCTTTCTTTCCCTCCTTCCCTCCCTCCCTCCCTCCCTCCCTCCCTCCCTCCCTTCCTTCCTTCTTTCCTTCCTTCCTTAGTTTTTGAGACTGAATCTTTCTCTGTCACCCAAGCTGGGTGCAATGGCCTGATCTCAGCTCACTGCAACCTCTGCCTAGTGGGTTCAAACGATTCTCCTGCCTCAGCCTCCTGGGTAGCTGGGATTACAGGTGCCGGCCACCACACCCAGATAATTTTTTTTGTATTTTTAGTAGAGACAGGGTTTCACCATGTTGGCCAGGCTGGTCTCAAACTCCTGGCCTCGTGATCCTCCTGCCTCAGCCTCCCAAAGTGTTGGGAGTACAAGTGTGAACCATTGGCCCGGCCTGGGATAGCTGATTTCTAAGGGTCTTTTTTCTTGGGATTCCAGAATTCTGTTTTTTTTTTTTTTTTACACTTTGTACAATTCTATGCTCTAATAATGTACAATTTTAATATTCTTTGGGAAGGAATATTGTTCCTTTGGGAAGGAATATTCTTGGGGAAGGAATAATACTTGCTATTTTCCACATATTATAATTCAATCTCCTAACATTCTATGATAATACTCTTTTGGGAGTACTACTGCTTAATGATAATTATGATTTTCCACATTCTGTAATTTCCTACATTCTGTGTCTTTATCTGTGCTTCAGATAGTCTTTGCTCAATAATTCTCTGCTCTCTATTACCTATCATGATTTTTATTTACATTCTACAATTTTATATCCCAATTTATTATTATTATTTTTTGAGATGGAGTCTCGCTCTTGTCACCCAGGCTGGAGTGCAATGGTGTGATCTCGGCTCACTGCAACCTCCACCTCCCGGGTTCAAGCGATTCTCCTGTCTCAGCCTCTTGAGTAGCTGAGATTACAGGCGCCCACGACCATGGCCAGCTAATTTTTGTATTTTGGGTAGAGATAGGATTTCACCATGTTGGCCAATCTTAGTCTCAAACTCCTGACCTCAGGTGTTCTGCCCACCTCAGCCTCCCAAAGTGCTGGGATTACAGGCGTAAGCCACCGCGCCTAGCTATATCCCACTATTTTACGACTCTAAAATTCTTTGGGAAGGAATATCACTTCATACTATTACTTATTACTATTTTTCTACATCCTATGATTCTGTCCTGGGGTCTATGATTTTAATGTTCCATGAGAGGCTGCTCAGGAAGTAGCAACCATGGTGAGGATGATGATCTTACATTCTGTGGTTCTCTGCATTCTCACTTTCCAGGACACTTGGTGCTGGTATTCTCTGCTTCTTACCTGAAATTGCACCACCTTCTCTGTGGCAAGGCATAAGTAGGTGCCACCCCCTCCTGGGGGACTGCCAGGAAACTGGAATGCACACTTGTGCAGCTGGGAGATGGGCTCATCCACATCAAGGAGCGCACACTGTTTGGCTACTTTACGAATGATCTGCAATGGAAGGGTGGTAAGAACGGTGGTGGCAAGGAGCCTGGGTATCCAGAGGCTGCCCTCCCAGCCGGCTCTCTGATACTCCAATAGCCACACAGGCACTAGCAGACTCCCGCTGAGCTTTGACTTCTGTCTGGTCCTAAGTGACACTGGGTGAGAATAGGTGTCTCCATGCCTTGGGGCCTCACTCTCCACCCCTGCCTGTGTGTGCCACATTCTTTGCATAGATCTGAGGGGACCCTTCCAGGCATACCCTCCCTTCCTATACCATGGGAGGTAGAGTGATGCCGGTGAGCGTGCAGACGAGCTGCACCAGGGAGCCATAGCGAACGTAGCCTTCTCGCGGTGGGAAGTCTCCTTGGGAAGAATGCCCATCAGCTGGGGGTCAAAAAAAAGCAAGAGACAAGGTTTTCAGCTGCCCCCAAGCTGCTGCCTTAAACCCTGCCTTCTTGCCTCTGGCTCTTCCTCACATCACACATGGGCCCTGCGGGAGGGGGTGGTTCTCAGGGGAGCCGCTAACACTGAAGTTTTTAATTCTGGAGAGGCCATCTAAGGCCATCCTCACAAATGTCTGCCCTGGGGGCAGGGGTTGGGGGCAGGCAATTTAGTTGATATAAGGGGAAAGGGCATGGATAACAGAGTCAGAATAGCTTGGAACAGTCATCAGCTCATTGGGACTGTGGTCAAGTCTTTTTGTGTTTCTGTGCCTTAATCACATGGGGCAGAGTTTACCTTCCTTAAGGAATTGTGGTGGAAGTTAAATAAGCTAATGTATGTGAAGTGCCAGCCCCAGGGCCTGCAGAGGTCATTACCCAGGTGGAGTGTGAAGGCAGCCCACTGTCGCGCACTGGCCACAAAGGCCCCGTCCTCCACAGAGAGGTAGCGTGTGGAGACTGTCTGAGAGCGCAGGCGGTTGAAGAGGGAGACCTTTGAGCCGGAGGATATGCACACTGTGAGGGTGAGGGTGAGGGTTAGGGTGAGAGTGAGGGTTAGGGTGAGGGTGAGGGGACAGGGTTAGGATTAGGGGTTAGGGTTAGGGTGAGGGTGAGGGTGAGGGTTAGGGTTAGGGTGAAGGTGAGGGTGAGGGTTAGGATTAGGGTGAGGGTGAGGGTAAGGGTTAGGATTAGGGTGAGGGAGGGGGTGAGGGTGAGGGTAAGGGTTAGGATTAGGGTGGGGGGGGTGAGGGTTAAGGTTAGTTGGTGCTATCAGTGCCCTGGCCTGGCTTGGTCCCTTGGATGTTCCAGACAGTTTCCAATCCTCTGGCCCTGTGCCGGCCTGGCTGATGTGCCTATGGGCCTAGACACATTGGGCAATGTGAACTGGGCATTCCCAGTTCACAGCTATTTTTCTAGGGCCTGCTGCAGTCCTGGTTTGGAACCTTTGCCTGCTCCTTTTGCTGCCTGGACATCGTTCAGTTCATAAACAAAAGTAAAACTTATTTATTATTATTTTTTTGAGACAGCATCTCACTCTGTCACCCAGGTTGGACTGCCCTGGTGCTATCACAGTTCACTGCAGCCTCGACCTCTTGGGCTCAAGTGATCTTCTGATCTCAGCCTCCCAAGTAGCTGGGACTGCAGGTGCAGGCCACCATGCCCAGCTAACTTCTTTTTTTTGGTATAGACAAGGTTTGGCCATGTTGCCCTGGCTATCCTTGAACTTCTGGGCTCAAGTGATCCGCCCACCTCGGTCTCCTAAATTGTTGGGATTACAGGCACGAGCCACCGTGCCCTGCCTATGTCACTTTTAGTCTGTCCCTAGTTCAAGCCCCCTGCCTAGTTCAAACTCTGCCTAGTTCAACTTTTGTCTGTTCTGGGGCCCCAACTTCCAACCTGGAATTTGGTATCTGTCCCTTTCCTCTCTGCTTTTCATCCTCCAACTCTTCTCATCCCCAGGCCTGGGCCGCACCCTCTCATCCAGACTCCTTCCCTTCTCAGCTCCCACTCTACCTTTTCCACTCTGACCCCACCCCTATAGTGCAGCCTACCCCCACCTGGGGTAGCTGCTCTGGGCTTGGATGCACCTCCCGCGTCAGGCCCCGCCCTGCTCACGATCGGTGTTTTTGAGCGACTGCTTCTTCTGCGAGGGCTTCGAGATGACCTTGATGAGGCGGCTGTGGAAGGTTCCCAGTTCCCGGCCCCCGCGCAGCACCAGCCGCAGCACCAGCCGGAAGTGCTTCCTCTTGTCTGCATCTGAGATGTACAGGGTCTTGGCGCAGCTGAATTCCTAGGGGGCTCGCGGGGACAGGGCCGTCTCATCCCAGCCCTCCCCTGTTGGATGAACCAACCTCTCCCAGATATCGGACGTCCGCCCCGTCGGAGGTGACCAGAAGCTCCACCATCCAGACTCTCAGGCTCTGCCTTAAGGCAGGACCCCGGCCTCCCGGTCTCCCCGCCTATCTCTTGGCTTTCGGAAGGGAGTAATAAAGGAGACCTCCTTTCCCAGGAGAGGCAGGGATGGGAGCAGGAATCCGACCCCTTCCCGTGCGCTCTCACCCTGGAGTCCGGCTGCTGCTCGAAATTCAGCTTCTGCGTCTCAGCGGCGCTGCCGGACGCGCTGTCCAGTCCCATGTAACCGCAGACCGTGGGCCCCGTCTCCCCGGCCTGGTGAACTGGAAAGGGACGCGAACTGGCTCTGGAAGGACTCGGGAGGACGCAGGGGCCAGGCAAGCTTAGCGCTCACCGCCAGAGGGCGCGGGAAAACTGCGCCTGCGAACCGCCCCTCTCTCGGGCCCAACCTCGTGCTTCTCCCTACAGAGCAGGCGGCCGGCAGCCCTTGAGTCCGCCCTCACCTTTGTCCTGCCCTGGCTTCACCCTCCATCCGGGCCCCGAGAGGTAGACACAGGGCGGGGGGCAGAAGAACCTGCGGAGATAAGTGAGTGATGGATTCGTGCATTCATCTCCACTCGGCTGTCCTGTAAGCACCGCAAGGTAGTAGCATAAACCCAGCAGAACCTTCGTTTCCTCCTCCCGCTCCCACCCCCCTCCCCACGCTTTTTCATGACTGTAAACCCCATTCATATCCAAACCCTTATTGTTTTTACACCCCTCATTCAACTCATCAGAAGGTCTTATCCACTCCACCTTCAAAATATAATATATTCAGAATCCACTGGCTTCTTACCACCTCACCCTTCATCCCAGCCGCCATTACTTTTTGCCTGGACCACAACATCAGCCTTCAAACTGGTCTATTTCCAGAAAGTTCTGTTTCTATCTCCTTCCCATTTCACACAGCAGCCACAGTGCTCCCTCCTTCTCCCCTCCCCTCCCCTCCCCCCCCCCCCTCTCTCTCTCTCTCTGTTTCTCTCTTTCTTTCTTTCTTTCTTTTTCTTTTTTTACTTTTTGAGACAGGGTCTTGCTCTATTGCCCAGGCTGGAATGCAGTAGCTGATCTCAGCTGTCTCTGCTCACTGCAACCTCTGCCTCCCCAACTGATCCTCCCACCTCAGCGTCCTGAGTAGCTGAGACTACAGACACGAGCCACCACACCCATCTAATTTTTGTAGTTTTTGTACAGACATGGTTTTGTCATGTTGTCCATGCAGATCTGGAACTTCTGGGCTCGAGCAATCTGCCCACCTGGGCCTGCCAAAGTGCTGGGATTACAGGCATGAACCACCAAGCTGGCCAGAATGTTTTGTTAAAAACGTGAGTCAAATCATGTTAACTCCTTAAAATCCTCCACTGGTTAAAAATTAAAAGTCCTCCTGCGATCTGACCCCTGCTTCCCTCTCCAACTTGTTTCGTACAACTCCCCTCTCTGATTTCAGCCACTGTGACTTCTTTTGTACCTCAAACAGGCCTAGTTGGTACAGCCTCAAGGTCTTCCCATTTTCTGTTGCCCTTTTTTTTTTTTTTTTTTTTTTTTTTGAGACTGAGTCTTGCTCTGTTGCCAGGCTGGAGTGAAGTGGCATGATCTCCCCTCACTGCAACCTCTGCCTCCTGGGTTCAACCAATTATCCTGCCTCAGCCTCCTGAGTAGCTGGGATTACAGGCGCTCACCACCACGCCCAGCTAATTTTGTATTTTTGGTAAAGAGGGGGTTTCACCATATTGGCCAGGCTGGTCTCGAATTCCTGACCTCAGGTCATCTGCCCACCTTGGCCTCCCAAATTGCTGGGATTACAGGTGTGAGCCATTGCGCCCAGCCCTTCTGTTCCTTCTAATTGTAGCATGCTTTCCCCAGATTTTCTCCTGTCTGGTTCCATTTTAACATTCAAGTTTCAGTTCCAATGTTACCTCCCAAAAGTTCTCTTGACCTCCTTGACCTTTCTAGCTAATGTCTCCCCTGCCTTCAGTTTCTGTCAAATGGCCTTGTCCAGTTTTCCTTCTACTGCACATCATAATCTGCAAGTGTCTTGTTTACTGATTTGTGGGGAGTTTACTGTCTGTCTCTTCCACACTTGAGTGAGAGTGTGGGCTAAGGAGCAGGGGCTGTTTCTGTCTTGTTCAGCTGTATGCCCAGTGCCCAGCAGTACTCACAGTACTTGGTGCATACATGATAAACACTCAGTAAGTAGTTGTTGAATGAATCCATAAGTGAATAAATGGGAGAATGAGTGAATGAATGGAGACAGGAAATTCACAGGAAATCTCCTGCTATAGAACTATAGACCAAAGTGGGGGCTAATGGTGGCTGAGGGTCAAGGCCCTGGTCGACCAATAGCTGAGATTTCAGCCCTGAGGCCTCTTCTGGGTCTAAAAGAGGCCCAATGGGTGGATGGAGGGGTGCCTAGGGCTGACAGTTGCAGAGACTCGGGAGGGGCTGCCGAGGCACCTACCGCTTCTCATTTCCGTACGATTTCTGGGCCACCTTGGCATGCACAATCCGCACAGTCTGTTCACACTGTTGCTGCAGGCACCTGCGCACACCTCCCCTCAGAATGGTGGTGTGCTCTGGGGATGACCTGGGAGGGGGGCAGGCAGGTCGACCGGCCACAGGAAGGAGAAGGGTCAAGGTGGCACAAGGTCCAAGTACTCAGGTTGAGTAAAATGAAGTGGGCAGGGGGTTAGAGTAAGTGGGGGGCGGGGAGCTGCTCTATATTCTGCCCCCGTGGGATCAGGAAGAGGAAGCATTAGGTAAGGAGGAGACTTGGCTGAAAATTGTAGGCTAAATATTTAGGCTGCGAGGTGCTCAATGAGGCCTGTATGGAGCCCACGGGACCACCCAGGTTCCACACTGCGGGTCTGGCACCATGCCCATTGGAGCCCAGGGCCATAGGGACACGTGGCTGTGACACAAAGGCCACACTTATACTGGCCTTGGGATGGAGAAGAGTATTTTAGGGCTGATGGAATTGGTAGAGATGAAGCTTCCCCATCCTAGGGAGCGGGGAGGGGAAGGGGGAGCCTTTGTTGGGCTCCTGGCCTGGAGCGCTCTCTAGCCTCCTGCCTGCAAACAGAAAAGGGCCCAAAACCTTGTCCCCAGGATGGGGGGTGGCCTGGGGGAATCTGAGCCTTTCTGAGGCCAAAGTCATATTCTTCCCTTTCTCCCATGAGAAGTGACCTGTTGCTGTGTGGGCTTTCCTTCCCTTGATTACAGAAGTCAAGGCAGATGACATTGGTTCTGCAGAGTTAGCCAGGTTAGAGCCTAGAGGCCTGGTGGCTTCTCAACCTGGCATTCTTGAGCGGTGTGGGTGGGTGGGTCCAAGCAATTGCAGGGAGTAAGTAGAGGAGGGGAGGTGGGAGACATTTGGGGGGTTAGCATGTTGAGGCCAGGAGAGCCATGAAAACTGAGGCTGTCCTTCTGAGCCCTTTATCCTCTTGGCAGGACCGGAGTCTCTCCTCACTCCTGGAGGGGACAGCGTAGGACCACACCCTCGAAAGCCAGGCCAGACAGGCAGCAGCCACAGCCAGAACCGCTCCACCCCTTGGGGCTCTCCTTAGGGAAGTGCCTTCTAAGCTTCCAATGAATTCCGGCTGCGGAGTGTGGCTGCCCCAGTCTCCCCAGTCTCCTGCTGTAGCCGAATTCCAGCCTGGCCCGCAGCTAGCCCTGTCTGCAGCTCCAAGGGTGGTAGGAGCAGGGGGTGCTGGGTTCGCCCCGCCTCAGGAGGAAGGGGGGGATGCCTCCCTGCCAGTGGGAGGGGTTGCAGCCTGTGCTTCCCCTCCCCACCCACCAGCCCTGGGTTAAATGCAGCCGCCGCCTCTGCGTGCTCCAGCTGCCTGGCAGTCCCCACCTAGGGCACGCTGCCACATCGTTACCTGGTCCAAGTGCCCGGGAGGCTCCGCCTGTCGGCTTCGCTCTGCAGTTGCATCTCTGATCTGTCCCGCAGGCTCAGGTGAGTCAAAGGGTTGGGAGGCATTGAGGGGTCTGCAGGGGAGTAGGCATCAAGCCAGATCAGGCAACTGTATTTTAGCAGAGGCACCGCCTATGGTGCCCTGTCTGACCTGCAGTGCCCTTCCCCACTTCTGCAGGGTCCTTTCCAAATAGAGCCCCCACCAGCAAAGCCATCAAAATAGGGTCATCCCTTTTCTACTCTCGTCCCTCCAGGAACCCCCTGAAATGTCCCTAAGGGACATTTGAGAAATTATTTACAGGCCTCTCCTCCCTTGCTGCTCCACTCCCTCAGCCCCACCTCAGGGCATCTCTGAATCTTTCTTTTTAATGCAAGGATTAACTCCTCAGAGGAATCCCAAGTTCTAGTGTCAATCCTGCCAGACATCGCTGTGTGCCCTTCAGCAACACACTACCCTCTCTGGACCTAGTTCCTTTCTTTGTAGAATGAGGGGTTTGGAAAGGTGATGAACTTTGAGGCAGTCGCTATTGTGACTTTCTAGGATTCCTGGGGTGGAGGCAGGGTGCCAGGTGAGAAGTTGGCTCAGACCAGGAATGGGATGAGGGGAACCTTAACCAAGACTTGGGGGCCCAGAGGCGTCTCCGGGTGGGAAAGTATGGGAGGTGGCAGAGGCCCCTTGTGCCTTAGCCCTCATGCTGCCCAGGGATGCTGGCTTCGCCTGTGGCCCAAACCAGAGAAGGGTTCTCCGCCCTCCCACTTCCACCAGCTCTGCCACATCTTGCTTGGTCACCCTCCCACGACCGGCCCTGCCAGAGGGATTTCTGTTCTTCTACCAGGCCTGGGAGGGGAAAGGGGAGAAGAATCCAGGATGAGAAGGTCGCCTGGAGTGAGAAGCAGGCACTGGCCTTGCTCAGAATAGGCGCATTCACGGAATTGGGGGGCGGGGGCGGGGCTGCGGTTGGGTTAGGGGCGGCTGGCTCTCTCTGCCAGGAAACAGCAACAGAAAAATGGCTAACACAGCTTCAGCATGGGGCGCGGGGGTGGGGTAGGAACTGGAAGGAAAAGAGGTTTAGTGACTTCTAGGCGCCAGGGGGCCTCAAGAGGGAGAAGGGGAACCAGGAGCCCTAGGTTCTAATCCTGCTTTTGCAGCTCGGCGGGCTGCCTTCTTGGGGCTTAGTTTTCCTATTTGTACAGTGGGGCGGGGTGGGGGGGGGGTCCTTCGTAGTTCTCACAGGGCATTTCCGGGCCACGGGAGGGTGAGCGCTCACCTGCTGCCTCTGCAGGGTCCATGGCGGCTCTACGGGGCCCCAGCTGCTCACTCGCCGCACCTGGACGAGTCCGGTGCTGCTGTGGCTGGAACCCTGCACACCCCTGCTCCCTAGCTCCTGCGCGGGATATATCCTGTCCAGGCCTTATCTCCAAGGCCCCGGGCCCCAGCCCCCTGTTTGCTTGGGGTTGGCGCACCTGCTGGGCAGATGTGGGCTTCCCACGCCCCCTGCCGTCTCGGGCGTCCCCTGGCGGTCGCTCCTGAGAGCAGGCGGGAAACAGGCGCCAAGCGGCGCGTTCTTGTGCGCGGTGGGTTTTGGTCCACTCGCTGCCGCGCCACCACGCTCAACCCCCGCAACAGGGCGCAGCCCCTCCCCGCCGCCTGCGGTTGGGCAGTACGTGCCTGTGTTTGTGTGTATGGAGGAGTCTGGCGGGGGTGGTTGGCGAGTTGCAAAGACAGCCACACAGAACCTTGTGTGCGTAGGGGAGTGGGCCGAGGTGAAGGGCTTCTGTGGGCAGAGATTCGCCTGGCAGGAGGAGAGGCACCAAACGCCCAGAATGGCTCACAGAAACCTGCAGGCGTGGGATTCTGTCCTGTCGCAGCCATTTTTTGGCCGAATGACTTTAGGTACCAGCGCTTAACTTTTCTGAGCCTCAATTTCCTTGTCTGTATGATAGGGACAATCACAGCCTTACTCTTACAATTGCAGAGAGGATCAAATGCCACAATGCGTGACGAGCATTTAACACTGTGCCTGACATTTAAGAAAGACCTGTTTTTTTTCTGTTTAAATTTTTTGTATTTGTATCTATGTATCTATTCTTATTTAGTATTCTGCAGTTCCACAAATCATCTCTTGTGGGCTGAGCGCGGTGGCACATGTCTATAATCCCAGCACTTTGGGAGGCCGAGGTGGGAGGATCACCTGAGGTCAGGAGTTGGAGACCAGCCTGGCCAACATGGCAAAACCCCCTCTCTCTACTAAAAATACAAAAAATTAGCCAGGTGTGGTGGCAGGAGCCTGTAATCCCAGCTACTCGGGAGGCTGAGGCAGGAGAATCGCTTGAACCTGGGAGGCAGAGGTTGCAGTGAGCCGAGATAATACCACTGCACTATAGCCGGGGCAACAGAGCAAGATTCCATCTCAAAAAAAAAAAAAAAAAAAAAAAAAAAGAATCTCTTGTGTTTCCCACCAATTCCACTGTGATGAGAATTTTTAAATTCTGAAACATTTCAAACATGCACAAAAATAGAGAGATTAGTAAAATAAACCCCTAACTCACTTCCCCCTCCAAGTACCTATCACCCAGAATAAGAGCTCTGTAAACAATGTTTCTTTTCTGTTTTCCTTCCTCCCTCCAGGCTCTGACAGCTCCATTCTCTGTCCTGAAGCGCCATGAGAGGCCTTCTTTGCTGGCTTGTGTTGCTGTTCCTTCTTCAGCCCTGGGAAAGCCAGCTCCAGTTGGCAGGTGAACTGGGGCCCAGACCTCACCAGTGGGAGGAGGGGAGCGGAAGCAGGTCCTTCTTCTGCAGCCAGCTCCTCCTGCTGGGGAGAGGGAAGCAAGGGCTTTGGAACATATGGGACTGGGTTTAAGTTTCCCACTTCAACTTTCTGGGCCCCAGTTTCTTCATCTGTAGGATGTGGCTTAGTTTTGGGCACATGCAGTAACTGCCCATTGGGTTTTTAATTTGGAAAAATTATTTGAAAACATGAAAAAACCAGGAAATTTTACATAAAAATCCCTGTTTAGTAATTCTCTTGAAAAATCCAGGAATCTGGGCCGGGCGCGGTGGCTCAAGCCTGTAATCCCAGCACTTTGGGAGGCCGAGACGGGCGGATCACGAGGTCAGGAGATCGAGACCATCCTGGATAACACGGTGAAACCCCGTCTCTACTAAAAATACAAAAAACTAGCCGGGCGAGGTGGCGGGCGCCTGTAGTCCCAGCTACTCCGGAGGCTGAGGCAGGAGAATGGCGTAAACCCGGGAGGCGGAGCTTGCAGTGAGCTGAGATCCGGCCACTGCAGTCCAGCCCGGGCTACAGAGCAAGACTCCGTCTCAAAAAAAAAAAAAAAAAAGAAAAAAAAAGAAAAATCCAGGAATCTGCTAACATCCAGTTTGCAGGCGCATGGCAGCATTTGGATGGAGCTTCCTGCCCAATTAGGAGTGATAGGGGCTCTTTGGGTCTCCACCATCCTAACCCAACCAGTTCATCCATGTTCCCTGCCTGGTCCCTGCAGGCTTTGAGTTTGTGACGCTTCCTTGCCCCCTCGTCAATGGGTAATACCTCCTCAGAATAGCCCTCAGAGCTGTAAGATGAGGGAATTTGTGAAATCTCCTAGCCCAGGTACTAGGCACACGCCGAGTGAGTGCATCTATCTAATCTGCGTTTGCTGTGCTGGGAGCTGTTATGCCGGCATAGCAGCATTTCCTCTGGGTTTCCCTGGGGTTCTCCTCGGAGGTGAGGCTTTGCTGACCTAGGAGAGTCCTCACTGATCTCCCCGCAGGTCCCAGGTGTCACACGGGGCCCCTGGATCTGGTGTTCGTGATTGACAGCTCCCGCAGCGTGCGCCCTTTCGAATTCGAGACCATGCGGCAGTTCCTCGTGGGCCTCCTCCGAGGCCTCAAAGTGGGTGCCAACGCCACGCGCGTTGGCGTAATCCAGTATTCGAGTCAAGTGCAGAGCGTCTTCCCTCTCCGTGCGTTCTCGCGCCGCGAGGATATGGAACGCGCCATCCGTGACCTGGTGCCGCTGGCGCAAGGCACCATGACGGGACTGGCAATCCAATACGTCATGAACGTGGCCTTCAGCGTGGCCGAGGGCGCGCGCCCGCCGGAGGAGCGCGTGCCGCGCGTCGCTGTCATCGTAACAGACGGGCGGCCCCAGGACCGCGTGGCCGAGGTGGCGGCACAGGCCCGCGCCCGCGGCATTGAAATTTACGCGGTGGGGGTGCAGCGCGCGGACGTGGGCTCCCTGCGCGCCATGGCATCGCCCCCGCTAGACGAACACGTCTTCCTCGTAGAGTCCTTCGACCTTATCCAGGAGTTCGGCCTGCAGTTCCAGAGCCGGCTGTGTGGTGAGTTAGGAGGGTGCTGGAGTGAAGCTCGAACTCTTAATCCAAATGCTTGGATTCCTTTCCCACCACAGTAAATCCCATCCCGTGGGGTGGCCCCGCGCTTTCCAGTTGGAGCTGCTCTGACCTACCGCAGGCTGTGTCAGATTTCAGCTCTGACCATTCTGCTCAGGCTCCATCAACAAGGAGCAAACTATAGTTTCTTGCCCTGCCCGCCACAGCTTACCACAGGCTTAATGTCAAACTCCAGCACCAACCCCCTGCACACAAGGAACCAGTGATTCTCAAAGCTAAGAGGGATGGGCTACTCCAAAGAGTCGTGGCCCTCCCACATGGGGATGGCTTCTTCCGTTATCATCTTAGCTCCTCCCACAAATGCTACAAGAGCTGTTCCAGTCACGTTTTGAGTTTATTCCGCCCATCTCGATTTAACACCTCTCCACCTCCTACCCACTCCTGCCCCTGCTGTAGTCCTGTCTTAGCCCACTGACATGTCTAATTGGGTGCCTCCTCTTCTGAGCCTACTCACAGGGGCTCCTTAAGCCTTTTTCTTTCCCTAAGCCCTCCCATTTGGTATGGCCCCTCTCAAATTAGTTATTTACTTCTGAAAGCCATTTGAAGGTGTTGCCTGCCTCTGACCCCATCCCCATCCAGCTCTCTCTTGTTGGAGACTTCTGCCCATCTGTTCCCTGCTGATTCTAGTCCTGTGTGTCCTCAGGGAAGGACCAGTGTGCTGAGCCGGGACATGGTTGCCAGCACCAATGTGTCAATGCCCCGGGCACGTTCCACTGCACCTGCAACCCGGGCTACAAGCTAGCAGCAGATAACAAGAGCTGTTTGGGTGAGAGCTACCCCTGTCCTGCAATCTCACTGCTCCTGAACCTTTAAATCTCCATTGCCCTAACATCAGACCGATGAGTCTGGAAGGGCCTTTGGCAGTAAAAGCACACATCCGTCACTTTACAGACCTAAGAAAGAAAGGTATTGCCTGGGTTCACACAAATCCCTGGTGGGAGCCCACAGTTCAGTGTGCTTTCTACCCTCTTTCTCGCTGTTTTCAGACCAGTCTCCAATTCTCCTCCCAAACTTGTTTCTGTTCTCCTCTCCTCTCCTCTCCTCTCCTTTCCTTTCCTTTCCTTTTTGAGACAGAGTTTTGCTCTGTTGCCCAAGCTAGAGTGCAATGGTGTGATCTTGGCTCACTGCAACCTCTGCCTCCTGGGTTCAAGCGATTCTTGTACCTCAGCCTCCCAAGTAGCTGGGATCACAGGCGCCCACCACCACATCCAGCTATTTTTTGTATTTTTGGTAGAGACAGGATTTCACCATGTTGGCCAGGCTGATCTCGAACTCCTGACCTCAAGTAATCTGCCCACCTTGGCCTCCCAAAGTACTGGGATTACAGGCATGAGCCACCGCGCCCGGCCGTTTCTGTCTTCTTACAGGCATGTCCTTACAGTTTCTCTTCTTAGATACTGTTGGGGGGTCTTTAGTTAGGTGGGACTCCCCACTCATGCCGCCTGTGAGCTCTTTGTGTGCTGCTCACCTGAGCTGCCCTTGCTGCTCCCCTCTGGCCTTGAAAATCTTTCAAGATTCTCTCTCTTTTAAGAGATAGGGTCTTGCTATGTTGCCCATGCTAGTCTCACACTCCTGGGCTCAAGAGATCCTCCCACTTTGGCCTCTGAAAGTGCTGGGATTACAGGTCTGAGCTGGTTCTTCATTTTTGTCTTCTGAAAAGCTATGGCACAGTATACCTTGCTTATGCAATTGGGTTTTTTACTGAGTGCCAAGTTAGTATTAGACATTGTGCTAGGAGCATTACACACATTATTATTTCTCAGCCTCACAACAACCTGGAAAAAGAAATCATGTAATCCTGATAACACAGATGTCAGCCGGGGTCTTCTTGTTTCTAGAAACTAAAAGTTGGCTTGAACTCTGATTTGATGACTGTTTAACGTTCAAATCCCTCTCCAAGACCTCTGAAAATCCCCCAAGTGCTTACGTTCTGGTGGTCACCTCTTGCTGTGAGCCTCTGCTAAATTCATTTCATTTGATTTATGGATCCTCTCTCATTTCTCAACCC